GCTGATATATTCTCTCTTGGCGTGACCATGTTTGAGTGTTTTAGTTGGAAAGAAGCATATCCAAAAGAAGACTTCAAATACCCATGGAAAATAGCCGAGTTTGTGATGAATGGAAAGCGTCTTGAAAATAGTCATCACATTCCAAACAACATTTTTGCAATAATCGCGTCTTGTTGGTGTCAAAATTCAAATGACAGGATTCCATCTGAAGAAGTTGTATTGAAATTAGAGAAAGTTGTATAAAACAAACATAATTAAATTCGTTTTTTTACATTTCTTGTTACTATTATAAGATAATGATAGAACATTAATTCTTTATAGGTAATATGGCGATGGAATATACTAATATATAAGAGTATATATTTTTGTTTATTAATTTGAAAATTAAAAATAACTGATAGTTGTTTAAAACAACAGAATGAGTGCAAGTGCAAACAACACCAATATCGCATAAGAACTAGACGCAGTGCAAATTTCACACTCAATGTCAGTGCATGGTTTTTGATACTGAGATGGTTCCTTACACTTAGCACACTTTCCATCAAATTCAAACGATCCTTTTGGACACTTCTCAACACATTTGTTTTCGTTCATAATCGCACCATCAACACATTTATCACAGATTTCAAAAACAGAACACTTCGCACATTTTTCAGAGCATTTGTCACAATTCGTTTCATTCTTTTTGAAGAATCCGGGTTCACATTTGTCGACACATTTCATGAGTCCTTCTTCAAGATATTTCCCAGATACACAAGCAGAGCAATCATCGGCTTTAGTACACGTTTTACAACCACTTGCACAGGCTTTGCATGTTTTTTCAACAGTAAAGTAATTGTCTGGGCATTTGTCTTTCACACATTTCTTCATGTCTTCAACAAAGAAATATTTGTCTGCACAAGTCTTACATGTTTTATCATCTTCACACGTTTTACAGAAATGTATACATTTTATACATTTCTTGCCAGTTGTGTCTTTTGAATAACCATTTGGACATTCTGTACCACTCTGGCATTTTCCAGTGTCCAATAATAGAATATCATTATCAGGGCATTCAGTACACTTTCCTGCTTCAACACACCTTTTGCATGATTGTTCACACTCGGTACACACTTTGTTTGCTGAGTAGAATTTGTCTGGACATGTGTCGACACATTTGGTTTTATCTTTGATCAAATTGCCTTTGGAACATTTGGTGCACTCTTTCTGAGAAGTACATTTCCCACAATTTGTAATCGATTCAGAACAAGCTTTGCACTCATTTCTATCAACATAATAAGAATCTGTCGTACAAGAACTTCCA